TTTTTTAATGTATTTAGTACAATGTCTACAGGGTCTCACTACATAGATTGGACTTGTAGTGATCCTTCCTGTTTTTTACCCTCCCAAGCATTGGGATTAGTGGCATGTGCCACTATGCCCAGTCTCAGTTGATGTCTCAGAGCACTCCGGGGGTGGGCTATGGGGGTGGGGCCAGCACGGCAGGGTGGGGATGACTCCTGGCCCCTGCTTCTGCCTAAGCAGGCTCTTTAATCCACTGAGCTATCTGGCTGGCCCTGACCTACTCCTTTCAACTAGGCCTCATCTCCTAAGTCTCTATCACCTCCCACTAATGCCATCAAATGATGATCTCATCAGTGGATTACTCCACGGATGAAATTAGAGTCCTCATGACCCAAGCTTCTGGCAAAAGCTTTACCTCTGAACACAAGAGGCTTCTGGGGGACATCTTATATACCAACCATAACATGTCCCAATCATAACTTTTACTGTAGTAGGTTTCTTTTTAGAGATACACACTGAATTTTATCTTTTCTCTTCAGGTTTTTTTTTTGTATTTTAGTAAGGGTCTATAGGGTCTCACTACATAAATCGGACTTGTAGTGATCCTCCTGTTTTCAGCCTCCCAAGTGCTGGGATTACAGGCGTGTGCCACCATGCCCAGGCTCAATCACAATCTCAGCACACCCAGGGGCGAGGTCAACAAAGCACTTTATCTGCTGAGCTATTCTGCTGGGCCCTCTCTTCAGTTTTGAACATAGGCTTGTACTGAGCCACAGCAGCTGGCCTTTTCAGGCGCTTCCCTCTCTTCTACAGAGTCAATACTCATTGACTGTCACATGTCACACACTGTGATGCAAAGATAAGTAAAAGGTGGGATCTGTGGTCATGGCGCTTAGACCCTGGGGAGAAAACAGTCTCACAAAGTGTGATACCTCCTTCTGGCTCTAGCTGCCTAGAAGCTCTGTGACTTCAGGCAACTTAACCTCTCTGTGCCTTAGTTCCCATGAGTGTAAAATAGTGACAACAATGGTACTACCTTGTAGGGTTGTGGAGAGAGTCAGGGCTTTAACCCAGAGTTACTGGCCAAATGGGCAGAGCTGATGCCTGGCACATAATAACCACCAATTAGTGTTAGTTCTAGCTGTTACAGTGGAGGTTTGCCAAGGAGGTGGTGCGGGCACAAAGAAAACACATCTCAGCCAGACAGGAAGTAGGACGGGCTGCGCAGGATGCCAGGAGATGCTACTTCCGCTGGGTTTTGAGGACAAGTGAGGTTAGTAGACGAAGAAAGGCATGAGGTACTGGAGGCAGAAAAACACTCAGCAAGGGGTGGGCAGTGAACCAGCATGCGCTATGAGAACACTGCAAAGGCTTTCAGTAGGGCTGCAGCCCAAGAGCTCTTGGGGACCCTGGGGTTCATCTGCAAACCATTTTCATTCCTATAAGGGCAACTTACCTCCATCATCTGATCCATCCAGGCTCTGCTGTCTGAGGCGGTGACTGGCCCCAAAAAAGAAGAAAGGGGAAAATGAATTTCAAGAAAGAATCAACCCTATTTTTTTTTTTATAACAATACAAACAGATCTCTTTTTATTTTTTTTTTTAATTTTATTTATTTATTTATTTGTGTGTGTGTGTGGCCAGCTCAGCCCACCAGGGGGCGGGGCTGGCTGGCATGTGGTGCTGGGGGATTGAACCATGGTCCCTGTGCTTTGATAAGCTTGTTCTAAGTAGGTGCTTTAGACCACTGAGCCATCTCACCAGCCCCCTATTTTTTTTTTTAATTGCACTATTCTTTCCTAGATAAAAATATCCTCGCACCTGCTTTCCCGAATTGTCTTGGTCATACTTAACTGGCACCGAGTCTATCCTGTATGGCTGCATAGGTGGTGGTATGCTGTTACAGAAGGCAGCATAACAGACTACTACACAGTCCCCTGCTCACAGCAGTGTGCAAGTGGGTGGCCTTGTTTTTACAGTACCTGTATCTAGAAATCTTCCTCCTTAGGAGTTGGTTACTGGGGACCAAACCTAGGCATGGTCTACCACTACACCCCAGTCCTTTTTATTTTTATTTTGAGATAGGATTTCACTATGTTGCCCAGGCTGGACTTGAACTTGCAGAAGTTGTGCCTCAGCTTCCAGAGAAGCTGGGATTATAGGCATGTGGCAACATGCCCAGCTTTCCTTTCTGATGTCTTAGGAGAAGGCCACATTTGTGTTGGAATTTGGCATTGCTTTGAGATCAGTACCCTAAACTTGGATAGACAACTTTAAAAAGTCACAACGAGAAATTTAACATAGGCATCAATGACACAGTCCCAACGTTCAGCTGAGGTGGCAGCATTATCCAAACTCTTCATCTTTCATCTAGCTATCTATCTACCTACCTACCAATCTATTTGGTATAGGGTCTCGCTGCATAGATTGGACTTGTAGTGATCCTCCTGTCTCAACCTCCCCATCACTGGGATTACAGGTGCACACCACATTCAGTTTTGGAGCTGGCATGGGGTACTGGGAATCAAACCCAGGTCCTTGTACTTGCCAGGTAGGCGCTTTAGACTATTGACCTATCTCTCCAGTTCCACTATCCAAACTCTTGATCTGGTACACACAATTCCATTCTACCACAGCCAGATTCAATTTTTTTTTTTTTTTTTTTTTAATCCTCTATTCAACACAGGCTGAACCAATAATGGCCAGTAAGACCGTACTGGTGGGAAAGCTCAGCATAAGAAACACAGGAGACATACTCTTCTATCTCTTCAGAAGCCTTCCTTCCCAACCTGAAAAACAAAAAGACAAGGATTAGAAAGCCCACACAGCCCATGTATTGGAGTAGTGTCTTAGTAAAAGTTTTCAAAGGTAGGGCCAGGGCCAGCCAGATAGCTCAGCAGACTAAAGCGCCTGATTAGACAGAACACAGCAACCAGGGTTCGATCCCTGGTGTGCCGTGCCGACCCCACTCCCAGGGCACACTGAGACGGCGATTAAGACTGGGCTTTGGGGCCGGGGAGATGGCTCAGTGGAATAAGTTCTTGCCTGGCAAGTGCAGGGGCCTGAGCTCAATCCCCAGTTCCGCAAAAAAAAAAAAAAAAAAAAAAAAAAAAAAAAAGACTGGGCGTGGTGGTGTGCCTGTAATCCCAGCCTACATAGTGAGATCCTATAGACCCTGTACCATATATATGAAATAATCAAAGGTAGGCCAACTAAGCACACCCCAAATCTGTGTCCCCTTCCCCTTGGGCAGGAAGGAATGGCTGACCATGTCATGCCACACCATTTACTGTTGAGTTCAGGGCCAACAAGGAGCTTCACACTCGAATCAGCAGAGGTGATATGGTGGCCTCCCCTGGCTCCTAACTGACCCACTGCTAAAGCATCTTCCGATGAGGCCCTGGGCTCAGCTGGGCGCATCAGCTGACAGCACATGCAGCTTTCCAGGAGCCGCCCACACGAAGGACCAGAGACTCTGTGACAGGTCTGGCTGAGGAATGAGACATTCCTGAGACATCCCACGAGAACAGAGCATCTGCTTGACACAGCTTTACCCCAAGTAGCAGCCCTGCACATCAGGGGTGTAAAAGCCATCTGGAAAGCCATAAGACCTGCAGGCTGCAGGCCCCGCAATAAGACTTCAGAATCAGCTGGTCTGGGGGAGAGCTCAGGACTATGCAGTTTAAATAGATTTCCAGGTACTTCTCATCTGAATCAGGCCACTACTGACTCTGAGAGATACTGACCTCAAGGCTCTCAGTGCCAGGTGTAGGAGCGCACACCTATACTCCTAGCTCTTGGGAGGCTGAGGCAGGGGATCACTGCGAGTTCAGGTCAGCCTGGGCTACACAGTGAGACTCTCTATTTAAAAAAAAAGTCTACTAACAAAATGTTGATAATGATTAGATTTGGGTGTGGAGTGTATGGGGCTGATACTTCTGTATGCCTGAATATTCCCACAGTAAAGGTGTGGCTTTTGTTTTAAGTGAGTTCTTTGGAGTCAGAAACTTGGCACCATGAAGAGCCCAGAGGCAGGATGCATCAAAAGCCCTTGACAGTGTGGTCCACGGACCTCACTAGCAAGAGCTGGGTCACAGCCAACCATCAAGTCCTGAACACACGAATAACTCCTCCCGAGAGAATAATCAGAATTAATTTTTGGTCAATTAAAAAAAGTAAAAAAAAAATAATTAAGCTCAAGTTTAACACAGGTTACCTTCATGAAATTTAGATGATATCAATAGTCCATTTAAAAGGTCATTAATCATCTTGGGAGGCTATAAACAGGCGGATCACTACAAGCCTGATCTAGTAGTGAGACCCTGAACACCCTGTAGACCCTTCCCTAAAATACAAAAAAAAAGAAAGAAAGAAAAATCTGAAAGTCCAAAAAAAGGTCATTAATCCACAGGTCAGGGGGCCTGCCCCTTAGCTCAGTTGTTTAAGTGGCTGCTTCAACCAAGCAGTCAGGCTCAGGTTGCTGTGGTTCGATCCCCACAACTCCAGCCAGCCAAACATGCCCTGAAGGCATTCTGAGCAAAAAAAAAAAAAAAAATCCACAGGTCATTTAAAAGAAACAGAAAACAAAGGCTGAAGTCAGGACAATGGGCAGGGAAGTTGGAAGAGCAGGGTTACTTCGAAGGTGGCAGCTTGTGACTCTTACAGGGACAGCCCGAGGAGCAGGGCAGGGCAGGGCAGCCCAGATGAAGTGGAAGAAGCTGTGGGACCACCAGCATGGCGCTGCCGTGTAATGAGGGACCCCAATGCCTATTCGAGGCAGACGATGAGGAAGTGAATACGCCAGCGCTGCCAAGTCTCCTCCTGCGTGGAAGGATGCAAAGCTCTTGTTTTCACCCCCACTGTGGCGTAGGACCACCGCTTCTAAGCGTCCTCTCAAAGCCCCACTCCGCTGGTGCATCACCAACAGTAGAAGTGCCTGAATGCCAAGAGGCAACAGAAGACAGGACAGGAAGCTGGGATGCCTAGGCAGCGCTTTCGTTTGCACATGAGAGGCACGCACCTCTGAAAGAAACAATGATAGAACTAACCTTTGCTGGGGGCGGGGTGGGAACTGCTTAAATGCCGTCTATCTCCTCAATGTCTAAAAAGGGGGTAAGTTTAACACTCAGTTTAACTGCTGTGGAGCCCACACCTTGTTCGCTCTCCCTCAGGGGGAGCCCAGTGACCCACCATAACCCTGTTCCTCGGGCTGTCCCTGTCTTTTCTCTCTATGCAAGGAGATCAAAGTAGCTCCTGGATGGGCAGCGGGATGCCCTCAGGTAGCGTGTTCTCTCACCCTCTGCCACAAATGACAGGTTCGGGCGTGCCTTCTGCACGGTGGGATGGAGCCTCTGCTGCTGATCTGGATTATGGACGGGGAAGGGCCACTTCTAGGCCTTCTCCAGCCTGTAAATGAATTTGGTCTGGGCCAGTTTACTTAACATGAACTCACTGTTCAAGTTGGGAGATCTTGTACTAAAGTCCAGGTCTCTAGATTCTTAAGATAAAAAGCCTGGCAACTCTGGGCTTGCAGCTGAAGTGCCTGAGCTGAAGTACCCTCCTCTTTGGGGCTCCCCAGAACCCCAAATCACAGTCTACACTGCTGGTTTCCTCACAGGAATCAGGGGATAACAAGGATGTTACCTACAGCTAGGTAGATACCAAATGTAAGGAAACAAAAGCCAGATGAAGTAAGTATAAGGCAGGTCTTAGAGAACTGGCAGGGAGTGTGTTTCTTTAAGAAATGTGATTATGCAATAATTCACATATGATTTCAGGATTATATAATATGGAATAAAACCCCACTTCACGGATTTATTTTATCTGCCTAGTTCCCGAAGGCACCTCAAGAGGTACAGCGATCTAGAGCCCACGATACACAGGAGCTGGAACAGTGGTTTTTTTTTTTTTTTTTCTTTTTTCTCAATTTTATTGAGAAACAAGTAGCAATGAGAGTTTCAAAACCGACTAGTAGGACAGTTTCAATAATTATTACACTGCATATTGTTGTCTTCTTAGTGGTTATTCATAGTACAAGATGCAGACATGATATCCTGCCCACAAACACAATTAGTACAAATCTTTCTATTCATTAAGAGAAAGTAGCTGTATATCTATCCTATTTTGAATATACAGATACAAAATGGCCCTTCATTTGTATCCCCCTTTTTTGTTTAGTTTTGTCAGAGATGGGTATTCCATTGTCATTTAAATATTGTAGGTGTGTGAATTCAGCAAAATATTAGGCAAGTTTGGTAGATTACCACCAGCATTTTCTTCCTTTCCTTTCTTCTTTTTATAATGAAATAGGATAAGAATTATACATAAGCTTTTATTTTTAGTCCTATATGTTATACACATAACCCATCATAATATAGGTTGTATTTTCAAAATTACTACTGAGGGGTTATAAACAGCCAAAGAAACAAAAACCTGAAACACAGTAGTCTACCATAGCTCACCAGAGTGGGTAACCAGAGGAGGGCCTGGTGGTGAGATCCTGCCTCCCACAGATTTCAGGCACACAGGCTGAGGGAAAATGTTGTGGGTCCTGGGTCACCCCTTCCTCAGACACACTTCTTTGCCAACTTCTGGGGAAACTGAAGCCCCCATGGCCTGGTCCTGGCACCACACCATGGTGGACAGTCTGTCCAGCTGTGGTCAGCATAGTCCTGGGCTTTCTAAACACTCCTGCAGCCAGGGCTGTGGGCCTTCTCCCTCAGATGTGGCTACCAGAGGGTTGGGAACTTGGCAATGGTCTTAATCGCTTTGGGGAAACAAGAAGTGAGGAGAGCACGTCTCTCTCCGTGATCTCCACAGACTGTCTCGCCTGTCAGCACAGCCTCGGTTGAGCTCTGGGAAAGTAGCAAAAACAGTTTTAGCAGTGCCATTTATATGCAAGGACACTGGGCACTGCAGTGTAGGCCTCCCCCAAACACAGGGCCTGTCACTGATGAGGCTGAAACTAGCCTGCATCTGGATTCGCATTACAGGCCCCACATGCATTGCCCCAAGCCTTTTCAAAAGCAGGCCTCAGCTGATTATCTTATGTCCTGAGGGTACCCCAACATCTGTTTGGGTTTCCTGTGCAGACAGTCCCTTATGGAAGGCACTAGATGGCACAGAGTATCAAAAGCTGGAGACAGTCCTTTGAACAGGTGGCCCTCTACCAGGGGCGTACAGCACAAACCACACCTGGGAAGTTTCTCAGTGTACATGTTCTAGGCCCCCCGGGTAGTAATTTCTACAAAGGAGCCCTCTTGCAACTATCAGAACCACTGCCTCAGCCTTATTTCAGGTAGCAGGCCAAACAATGCCGTTGCTAAGCAGCAGAACTGGAACCTATCTGCCTTTTCCTTCTGCCTGACATTTTCCCCCTGGAAGTGTTAATAAACTTGCACTTAACCTAAAGGCTGAGGTGACAAGGCAATGGCCTGGGCCTACGTGGCCTACAGCAAGGCCTGTGTGCCCCCGTCGGTGTGCTGACAGTCACACAGGAGTCCCCGGCACTTGTCCTCAGCAAGCCGGAGCAGAGTGGACCGGATTAGAGATGCTCGTTCAATATGCAAAGTGTACAGCTTGGACAATGCTGAACCAGCACTCTGAAAAGTTAATTAAATGCCAGGTTTCTTTTTAAGAGCCAGTCCATCACTTGCTGACGCTTTGGCCATTTTGTAGAATGGAGCTTTCCCAGTGGATGATCAGAGTAAACATCCTCCCTCGCCTCCTACATCGGGGCTGGGGTAACAGAAGTAAGGACACGCTGGCTGGCGCCTCCCTGTGAGAGACC